GCGTTGTTGACCACCCTCCGAAAGTGGAAACCTCCCGATGGCTGCAGATTGCCCCGCTCCGGCGACCGTTGTTGGAGCTGTCCGCCCCGGTGTTGGGGTCCCGCCAAATGAAAAACCAGGCCTCGTGGATGGGGCAAAAGAAGTACCTGGCTTGCGAGCCAGCTGTTGTTCAACAAGTCGGGCACGTTGATGTGCATCCGAGACAGACTCGAGCCTGATAAGATTTAACATATCCCGAATAGCAACACGCAAACCACTAACATATCGAGAGATCAATTGGGACTTAGTCTCCCGTACCGCAACACGATTCAAAAGCTGGTAGAACTCGTTCGTATAGTCATCAACAGAACGAGTGCCCTGTCTCACATTATGCAACTGCTGGTATACGACACTATCATAATTGAAAGGTAAATACTCATTCTCCACATACTTACGAAATTTCACCCAGGAAATAGTCGGAGACTTCCCTTGACGATGCCGCATGCTCGTAATGTTCATCCACCAAGTTGCCGCTCGACCACGGAATCGAGTAGCTACGAACGCGACCCTCTTGTCCTCCGGGATCGCCTTAAATGCCAGCACCGCTTCAACGGATGCCCACCAATCCACGAAATCACCGGGCTCGACACCACCGTGAAACTCCGGAATGTCAACCCGAAGCCCCGATTCCCAACGTGAGTCCCCGCCACCATCAATCGGGCGCCGACCCTCACGCCGCTGCTGCCACGACTCCTCCCCACCTCCGCCATCACCAAATCGCCCCCGGCGGTGGAATCCTGTTTCTGCGTCAGGCCTACGGTCTCGGCGACCGTCACCCATGCCGCCTCCCACACATTGTCGTCCAGTTGACGGTCATCGCGCTGGAAGAATTCATCGTCCTCATCATGACCAGCAGCCCGCCACTGTCCTCGTTCACGGCGTCCATGGCCGCCATCGCGCCACTCCTGTTCATGTCGCGGCCCGTCGTCATCACGACTGAGAAACCCTAATCCGCCGTCACGAGCACCAGGGCGGCGACCCTGCCAATTGTCGTCATGGGCGAACGGATTATCAACCGTCAAAGTGTCATCGGAGTCCACACCGGTATACGAAGGTTGTGGTGGTCGCCGGCGGGGCGCCCCGCCAAAGCCACGACCGCCCCGACCCCCGCGCAGCCCCTCGCGAGTACCCCGGTCAGTCACATCGCGATTTCGACGCATCTCATCCATCATGGTGCGCATCGTCAGTCGTAGTTCCTCGAAGCCCGTCGAAAGATCCGTAAATCGTTCATCAAAACTGTTGAATCGCTCATCAATTCCCTGAAATCGTGCATCAACGGAGTTGTCGATCACGACTTTGTCCTTCTTAGGCGGCATCGTGGATCATCGGCTGGTCTGCTGATACCAACTGATGTAGAGGATGTATACGATAGGGAAAGAACACAGTTTCAAGAGAGAACAGATATTTTTATATTCACGATAAACTGACTTTCTCCCTTCTGTTCCCAGTACATAAATAAGGAGTTTCCACTAACTCCA